GTGTAGGGAGGTGATTGTGTGCGGTGCGGTGTGAGTAAGGAGAAAGATGCGAGGGCACCAGCGTACGCGAGGGTGGTGGTAGTAGTTGCGGAAATGTACAGGGGACCAGTTTCGCGCACGGTTCGTTGACGTGGGATTGTAGGAGGCGGTTGGTTGAGTCCATGTTGGATGGACCGGACAGGAGCGGAGTGATCCGGATCGGTGGGACGGACGAACCAGTGTCGGCGATATCAGCGTCATCTCCTTCGTCGACATCCATCGCCGTGGGTTCGACGGCTCCAGCACCCTCTCCCGCGGCGTTAACCCCAGCATCGGGGTTGCGCCGGCAGCACCGTTGATGGAGACCATTCCCCGTTCGGCGGAACTAAAGTTTTCGGGCTGTTGGCCCGGAGGGTTGTCGCCAGCGCGACCCCCTCGGATTCGTTGTCGCGCCGGGAGTGGACATGAAGTGTTTCGAGTAAACGTGCAGGCAAGAACTGTCGGCTGACGCCAATAAGGGTTCAAACTCAAAGACACCGCAAGAGTGTGTGAATCTCCAACGCTGTAGCCACAGGCGTTCCACTCAGGCAACGGTCACAGATATGGGGCGGTGTATACGATCACCGGACAGGCTGTGACGCTCGGTAAAGAGGCAGAATCTCGAGATGAGATGGGGACAGAGGTGGAGAGTGAGAGTTGTGCGAGGGCACGCCCTCGCATCCCTCTCGGACAAAAGTCACGATCAACGATCCAAGGAAGCCTCGTGGAAGACGGCTCTAGGTTCCTCGTATAACGCTGAACGCTTCCTCGTGGCTCGGAGAGCGTTGGCGACATCGACATCGCCCCGAGAGACAACTTCTCCGAGGAGAACGTGGGGAACGTTCTCCAAGGTTGTAGGATTTGTGGTGAAACACGTAGTAGGTTGCGTTCGCAGAGGTGTGACCCACAAAGACAACAACAAATTCTCCGTTTACCCGCAGGGGAGATATCACTGAGTGCTTCTTGGCGAGTCGTGGAAACACAGGAAGCGCTCCGCTAACGCTATGATAAAATCACCAATTTGTCGTAGACCCTCATCTATGGAAATGTATGGATTTATTGTGCAACATCAAGGAAAAAAAATGACCGGTGTATGTGTACGCGTCTTGCCTGTTCCCACACTTGGTCGATACCCTCTGACCGCAGCGCCGAGCAGCGCAACACCGGCGGAGCCCAGCAGCTCAGCTTTCTCCTCGCGAGGCCGAGCGCCGCCGAGTAGTCGCTGGCGGTGGCTCGAGCCGCTCTTATTTTCGTTTTCGACACGGGTGAAAAAAAAAAAACGTCGTTGTGGTGGTGCCACGAAACAAAACACCAAGTTGGCAATGAGGTGCTGCACTCATAGGGTAGACGCCTGAAGATCCTCGTTACCATCGTGCGTCGCCGCCCATGTCTTTACTTCGACACGCTACAAAAATTTCGCCCTTGTTTCCTCTCTCGCCCAAGGTGTTGCGACAAGTCAATCAGGGGTTTCGTGGAGCAGGAAGACGGGAGAGGGGGCTCCGACAGGCCTTGCTTTGATCACGCGTGCTCGCGTAAAACCAGCCACATCCTAACGTCCCTTCCTCCATTTACTTGTCTCCGGCGTCTTGTCATCATCAAAGACATACAAGTATGAATTATCGCCCATCCTGGTACATTTCCGTTTCCTCTCAACATCCACTCACTTCTCCAGATCACCGTCCGACTTGTTGACCACGATGGCGTCCGCGACCTCCACTATCCCCTTCTTCGACCCTGATTTTTTAAAAGACAAGTTGCGCTTTTTCATCATCAAGCAACTGTTCAGGAGCAGCAGAAGACCAACCAGCTCGGCTTGTTTGCTGGTCGTCTTCTGTCACTCAAATACTCGAGCGCTAAAATACACTGAAGAGTGTAGTACTCTACACACGCTGAAACACGTGTAGCACACATCTCGCCACAAAAAATGGGGGGACCGTCGCCATAGCAGATAGGACGAAAACACACACAACACACACGAGCACAGAAGGAAAGACAAGGCGTGTGTGTTTTTACGGTATAAGCAGTGCGCCAAGCACGTCGTTGTGCGAGAAAATGCTTCAGAGATCGCTGGAACGCTGGACCCTTAACCTTAACCTTGCAAATCGTCGCCGCCTGCAGGGGGAAGCATCAGCAGTAGCATATCCACCGTGTGCTCCACCTCCACCTATGCTTGAAGCGAACGAATGAATGAATATATCCAGCGTCGTGTCGTCGGGGCGGGGCGGGGAGGAGTGGCGAGGGTATGGCGTAACAAACGGTAGAAACAAAAAACACCCACACGGGCGAGGAGAAAAAAAAAAACGCAACGAGACCGGCAGGGAGGGAGAGGAAGAGAGAGAGAGAGAGAGAGAGAGAGAGAGAGAGAGAGAGAAGATTAGGCAGAGGCAGACGTACGTTTGCATACGGATAAACAGAGGCAGGAAGCAGGAAGTTGAGAAAAGAAAGAAGGGGCGTCGGAGATAACGGCACCGAATAGTCACGCACAGAGAAGAAATCTGGTTGACCAAGGACAGCAACCGTGGCTTCTTTCATACCAAAACCAAAAGTCGCGCCAAAATCGGGGAGAGAGGCGAGGCATCGGAGACAGCACGGTGGGGGGGGGGGGGAGGGGACGTTGACAGCGCTCCAAACGAAGCGGGGGAGGATGGGGAGTAAGATTCTTGTTCTCTTCGCGATGAGCCAGAAATTTTCGCAAGCGTGCAAAAGAGAGCAAAGCAGCGGAGAAAAAAAAATGGCACTGCCTACGCTTTTTGCCATGACGCGCTTTGCGACAAAAACGTGCCTGTCAAGTCTGCCCAACAAGCTTTAAATATATCGACTTAGCAGCTTGTTCGCTGTCCATGCACCGGCCCCTCCCCCCGAACCCTTTGACCGATGATAATCCCTTGCCATCACCAAGCTAGAATAATCCCCCTCTCCCACTCCTCAGCGATTCTAGGTAGTACGTCGCTTTATTGTGTTGAGCCTGGTTTGGGCGAATATTCGGCATGACCTCCGGTCCGGTCCGGTGGGTCTTGTAGAGATGTGAGCTCTACGGCCGAAGAACCACCTCACACAGCAAGCAGCATCAGGGTTGAACATACATGCCATAAGAGGCGGACAGATGGCACCCCCCTCAGGTCGATTTCCATTGCTCCACAACAAAGTGGATGGTGCGGGAAAAGAGCCCCGACACGTCTACGGCAATGCCTTCGAAGAGACGCTTCCAAGGACCACCATTCTTGGTGTTGGCACAAAGCTTAGTTGTGGAGCAATCGAGCTATGAAAACCGGTCAGAGGGGGGGGGGTGCCATCTCCTACGGTATCCCTGGCCCTCGCTTGACCGTACCTCGTTTTGCCCTAGGCCGACGGTCTCGACGATGACGGGGTCGTACCCCGCCACCTGGCACAGCAGCACCACTTCGTGGGTGTACCTAGAGAGGCCGCCCAGTACTCCTCTCGCCGGACACCCGCGGACGAATGCGCTGCAGGAGGAGGGGGTGCGGGGGGGGGGG